AGGTTTCCTTACAGTACATTGTACTTCTCCAGCTCTGAAGCTCTGTGTTTTTTGGGAAGGAGTCTGAGAACAGACAGCGAATGCTGTTACTGTTTGGCATGTAACTGATTTAACAGGGCATGTGTTTTTAAACATTTATAATTCCTTCCTGTTTTGCATAACTAGTTTGAGAAGGAGGATGTCCACAAGGCCATCTATAAAGCCTTAAAAGCTCCCTTTTCAAAGAGAAAAATTCTAGTTTTTCCGGAGAAACATTAAACCTTTTCAATTTCAAAACATACACGTGGACTTTCTTCTCAAAATAACAGTTAAAAACAGGGAAGCAGGAAGAAGTTGCCACTTTTCAAAATATTTGTCTTGCTTGGGTAGTTGTTGTGCAAGTTTCCTAGCAATGGGTTTGTATGTCTTTAGTCTACCGTTTGTATTGCGGGCAGCAAGGAAATAAATAAAATAAATAAATAAAATTTAATTCTACAGGCACATTTTGCAGTTTGAATATAAAAACATTGAAGCCAAATTTTTGGCAAATATATGCCTGACCATTGCAGTGCAAAGCTTTTAGTGAATTCTTGTTCTTTGATTTTCACATCTTTCACAGAAATCCCAGTTTAATCATGTATCATCTTAAGGAACTGAACATTATGCTCTTTTCTTCTGTATAAACCATGCAATCGGAATAAAATCTGATTGCAGTGATACTGTTTTGTTTGCTTTAATTAGCTTTCCTTACTGAGGTTGGTAAGATTTAAAATGTTTTCTGTAGAAAGAAATTGATCTGTTTTCTTGATGTTCTCCTGTGGTTACATAGTGTTTGCCTCTGGTGTATGAAGTCATTTATTACTTGTCTGAATAAAATCTCATTTTTAGATAGTACATTTGGGCTGTTAGAGCTGGGCAAACTATTTGTAACTAAAGCTTTTATAGTCAACTAGAAGATTTGTCTGGTGTTGCTCAGGTCCTTAACTCCATTTTTGTGTTTTTTTTTTTTCATTTTAAATCATTGCTGTGGGGTATGGCTGAGGATGAGGGGTTCAGTATGCAGGCTGTCCCAGGCTGTCTCTTTCACCACAGCAGCTTGGAGCCAAGTGAAAAGCACCTCTCCATGGCTACTGCAGCTGCAGCAGGCACAGCTGGCAGAGGGGTGCATGTCCCCTGGCTGGGGCAGATTAGGCTGGGTGGGGGCCACGGAAGCACCACCTGTCCCCTGGCAGTGGCAACTCTGGGGCACCTCTGGGTTGGTTGCGGCACCTGGGGGGAAGACGCTCGCTCCTTTGGCCCCAGTGTGGAGCAGATGTGGCTGGGAGTGGGAGAGAGGTACTGCCATGGCCAATGGGGTGAGACACCCCCTTCTTCAGTCCCAGCACACAGCTGCCACAGCTGGGGGGAGGCACAGGCCCCCATCAGCCCAGAACTGAGCTGTTGTAGGGGCTCTGTGCTGCAGTAGGTAGGCAGAGGTGGCACTTTGCGCACTTGCCCTGAGTCCCTGCCTGCCCTGAGGCCTCTTTCAACATTCGGTCAGTCATGTCAGTGTTGAGGACTA